TCTTGAATTCATTGGGTTGTTAATATTGTTATTATGCAAAATTCGACTGCTTGAGGCAGCATGCATTGCTTCAAATATGCATATTACTTTTTCTGGCATTCGTTTATTGCGCAGCGAATTCCAAATAACATTATGTTCAATGGTATCTAACGATAAGGACAAAGGATTATTCCATTCAAAAGATTGCTCGACTATTACCTTTAGTGTGTTAGCCTGATCTACGCAGGTATGAACCCAGTCTGTTTCTTGATAGATGTTCAAGATGCCGTTGCAAAAATCCCTCCAATTTTGACTCAGATATGTATACTATATATACCTAACACATAACATAATCTTTTCTGCAGTTAGTCTAGACTTTGCCTCCGTTTGTGGAGCATCATCTTTATTTGACCAAGATTTGTTTCATATAAATTAACGTATGTAAATCTATTTTTGTCATTTGAATACGTATTTCATTTGGTGCTTTTAGTTACACCACCTTTACAGAAGCGAGGTTCATCCCAATACAGAATAACACGGACCCTAAAGTTCCAATTTAAATACGAAGCTTCTTTAAATGAATATGCTCTTTAATTTAAAATAGGAATATTTTTTATTAAACACAATAAACAAAATTGCACCCTCCTAAAGGAGAGACAGACATAGTAATACTAGTATTTCCTTCTCCCTATACATATATACACACAGATTGGTTCTAATCAAAGCGGCTTAAATGCGGTATATGATTATTTGATTCAGGAAACAAAAAAGCTAATAAGAAAAGAGAAGGAGCCCATTTTTAACATTCCTCGGTATACAAAATGTAAAGAAAAAGGCTGATCAATAAAAACGGTAAGACCAAAAGTCTTTCATTTACTACCTATTAAGTCTTTGTATTAAAATGGGTTCCAAAATTATATTGAAGTTTTGCAAAAAACTTTGTATCAAAAATCAAAACAATAGTTTTTATTGATTTTTCGTATACCAATCAATACTTTATTATCTTGTGAAGTTTTTTTGTAAGAGAATTTTCCGACTATATGGGACCTTCTTACTACATATGAATTGAAGTAGAGAATTCTGTTTCACATCTCAATACTAAAAATACGTTTTAAAAAACATTAAAAAAATAACATAGTCTAATGTGGATTTTAGAAATAGATTACACATTTAATTTGTTGAAATAATTTAGATCTGTTCTAGACTGCGACGTTTTCCTCATAGCATAGTAACATGCCTCATACTAGATTTCATAATAACATGAAATCTAGAAAGTTTAATGTTTAATGGGAGCAAATCATAGAGTGTAATTAAACTATTAAAACTTATTAGCAGTCATTATATAATTTAATTTTATCTCAGATAATAACTAAAATTCCTTAATGATGATTAGTTCATTTAAGAGTTTGTACTTAAAACGTTCTATTGAAAATGTATATAATGTATATGATTTTTAAGCATCTGCCACTTATGAAGCAAAGCCGAAGTACATGGTACATCTATAATAAATAAACAATTCGGATAACGAGACATGAGTTTAAAGTGATTTAATTTTTTTAAAACCTTAGATGAATTGTCACAGCTAATAAAACTATATGATGACAAATAGGCAAGCTGGTTATGAAAACAAGGGTACAACAATGTTTATAGAGCTTAGCTTCACGTCCCATAATCTGATCATTAAGTCTACTCCAGTACTCACGTATGGATTTGAGATTTAATTGTTTAAGAAAAAGTATTTTCAGATCTCAGCAACGATCGATCGATGATTTTAGAGACGCTACAGCTACCAAGTGTACTATATTCAGTTTCATCTACCTTAAGCATACGCAAAGCTCGATAGACGCCGATGGGCGGATAATCGTTTGGGTGAAGTAGAGCAAACCCTGTATTATTTCCGGTATGATGATGAACAATCTTTCTATCATACATCCACTCCCATAGCGAGAAAATCAAAAGAACTTCTAAAGTTGTTATCCAAACTATTGACGTATATTGAATTATTTTCATAACAACGAAATCTCTGTCACCATTATTATTAATATGGGATATAGCAATGCGACCGTCGGGTCTATTGTACCCCGTGCTGGGCTAAGCTCTGTTGTTTCGATAATGAATAGTGTATAACCTACTTTACAGAGTTTAATTGCCTCTTTCGTGAGCGCATGCATTCCCATTAGTCTATTCAGGGCAATGTAACAGTACATGTGCGGCTGACTCTTCATTTTCTTTATGTAATCTACAGTTTTCATCCGTATATGTGCCCAGTGTCGTAAGGTGGTATTTCAGTTTACAGTGACTTGTTAAGATTCTTGTGCTGATTCTAAGTTTTTCTTTTGATAAGTCCATACAATCCTGGTATCTTCTTTTGTTATAGATACCAATAAGTGATTTGGATTGTTTTAATATATTCTTGCTACAATCTTGAAGTCACCTGATGTGAGTTTCTATCTCACATCTCTTGATATCCGCTTGGCTCTCTGTCAGTATTGCGATATTTTTACCCTGGTAATTCCGTTTAATATTGATAAGTTTTAAATTTTAGCTTGAAAGATGCTAGTGTTTTTTCCCAGCGCTTTCTAATGCATCTTGTCCGATCCGACTAAGTCCGCTCCGGCACCTTCGTCCGTAACCGAACCGGCAGTAAAAATGCTATTGTGCCGTCCATGCTTCTTTGTTGCTTAGTTCAGTTTTAAAAAGTTTTGTAAGGCTGATCTATGGATTCATTATGTCCTATGGCATTGAAAATTTCGGACACTGTTTAGCAAGATTTTCGAACCTCTTGCGATCTCTGTGTTATACAACGTAATTAACTCGATAAATTTGTAAAAACAAGCAAATTAATTTGTACTGCATCCATCTATACAAGAATTTTGAACATTTAAACTTTAATAACTGATTAAAGATAAGATTAAAGATAGTGTCAACAGTTTGCACACATAATTATCTTTCATTTTGATTTAAAAAACTTGAAAATGCTCATCAATGTGTAGAAATGATATACAATTGTTTACTGATTTCATCTACCAAACGGACAATGCTGGGAATTGCACGAGCATTCTTTTCTTGGAAGAATTGAATGATTAAAATTTCTAATTATCGAATCTTTGCAAAATTTTTGTCATTAATGTTGTATTTAATATAGATTCTAGAATCTGCAAATTTTTTTTACAACCCTTTATTTAAGTTAGTTCAGTTTTAAACTATTGAAAATTTTAACACTTACCGTAGGCTTAACTTTATCTGAATCTTCAGGGGTTAAAATCCCAGAACCTAGAAAATTAATTCTGAAATTAATCACTAAAGAATATGTGGATACGATATTGTTTCTGATTTCTTGAAGCAGAGTCCACGGGTATCATTGTCAGCTCAACCAAACCCACAGCCAGGGGAGTGACTTTGCAAGAACAAGAACAAGCTCACAGCACCGCATAAACGCTTTAAACAACTAAAAAGTGGAAGCTACAAGCTCGTAATAACTGTCCGGAAGCCGGTCCCTAGCCTGGTTGACAAACCAGGCTGCACGGCTACCCAACGGCAGCAGGCGCATCGGATGTGGAGGCGTCAAATTTACGATTATATCCAAAAAAAGAAAAACATGATCAAATCCAGATAACTGAAACCGAAACATCAAATTTCAAATCTAAATCCATGTGGGCCTAGAATCATCATACTTAAACTCAAAACCAGAGTTAGGAAAAAGGTTTAAAAGAACGTATATGCGTATTATATACGTTTATACAATACAAGACAATACGTATTATATTCTCATTTTCTCGGCAAACAAAAATTTATGTTTAGTGCAAAAGGGAGAGTGTGAACAAAAGCCTTGCCAAAGATCACGACGTGTAGACGCATAGTTAGTAACCAGATTAAAGATTTTATATCTGTTTGGTTGTCTGAAAAGTAGCAAATGTCGGTTATTTTCATTACATCTGCGTAGATATTATCTTCTGCATAACTAATCGTCGCATTGAGAATATGATATGATCGTATTATTTTATTTCCTCTAATTTTTAGAAGTGAACTGTAGTTGAATATGACATAGATAGAAGTTGTGAAAATATTTATTTAGTTTTAAATTAATTTATAACACTTTTTGTTCTTAACAAGTTTGCTTTTATTTCAATTATTTATTATTATATTTATTTATAAAAATGAAGCTACTACTTTATCTTGCGTAATGAGATAACTCAACTAGACACTTACTATTGTTTCACTTGCTAGACATCATGTTAGAGTGCGAAGCTAAATATCTTTAGCTGCTTCTAGGTTTGATTCTAACAAAAGGAGTCTATCTAGTTTTGTTCTATCAATATCGCAGGCTTATGTTTTTGGTTGGCAGTATAAACAGCATAATTAACTTCACCGCTCACTAAAATATATATCTTTCTAATTAAATTATAAAGTTATATAAAAACCCTCCATTTCATAAATAGTTCTTAAATATGAATATTAATTTGAATCTTGCATAATATACGTAGCTTCTATTTTAATATACGTAGCTATTTTTTAAGTATTGTCAGTAAAAAACGTGTTACTAGTCATTAGGTGAAAAAACAGTTTTTGTTGTTTGCGTATATGTTAATTACAATTTTTACTACATTACAAATATGTATATATTATAGTTACTTTACATTTCTATTATATATAACTGATTCTCTCTTATATTTTATAATATTAAAGTTATAATAGAGTTTATAAAATTATGAAACAAGTGCTTTGCTGATATGCTACAAAATTTTGCTATACGTTTCTATAAAAGATACACTAATTTTATTGCTCTTATTCTTGTAATTATGCCTACAAAACAAATATGTATTAATAAATGAATGTCTTTAAAGGATGGCATACAATGTCTTTAACTGTTTGGTCACATAAAAGTAAACACACATATGTCTTCATATATCTATGTGTGCTAAAGTACAAGTAGAATTTAAAACTAATTAAGTACATACATTTAAATAAATACAAAACATAATTATTATGTTAACATTGACATGTAAGTTTCGAAAAAAAATACAATAAAGAACATTAGTCAAATAAAATCATTAAAAAGTTGTTTAAATAAATAATAAAATACACATATAATACACTGATAGTCGTTTAAAGTACCCTGTACTATGACCAAGCAATCTTATTTTGGTCGAATTTTCTCGTACATGTATTTCTGCAAATGTTTATTATCTGGAACAACTAACTTTCGTTTACTGAATTCGAATTGCGCTAAAGCAAATTCGTAGAGCTCGTTTTCCATTTGCCATATTTTGGATTCCATTATAGCACCGATAGTCTCTTCACTTGGTGCTAATTTCCACGATGTCTGACGCAGATGTGATTTGTTGGAATGTTGATAATGTTCGCGAAATCCTTGAAATATCCTGCAAATATAAACAACCCAGTTAATATTAATTATTTATACCAAATAATAATTATTTATATTTATAATATAATACACAAGAAATATAATATGTATATAAAATACAGCACAAATTAAGCTATCAAGTAGAGCCTTTATAATTCAAATCAAATAAAATATATATATATGCAAATACTTTATACGCACATATAAGTTAGCAATACAAATATTGAACCGCTCTAAAGTATGTATAAGGTTTTATATGAACTTAGAAAGGCTTAAACTAATAGGCTTTACAAATAATGCATGCCACAATTTTACATTAAATATTCTGACCTAAAATTTTGAATCATTTAAAAAAGTTTGTAAAAATTAAATTTTAAAAGAAATAAAATTTACCAAACTTTGGTAAATATTAAATTCTAAAGACAAAAATATAAAGTCGTGCCTCAAAGTGTTAAAGCAGTTCAAACTTTTCATCGAAAATATTCGACTCCTTTCAACAGAAAATTCGCTTTATTGAAGCTCTAATATAAAATTACGATATATTCAGAAGTAATACAGGAAATTACAGTGTACCGAGACTGTTAAAATACATATTCAACAATTCGCTTCCCAATAAGTACAGAGAATAATGAAATTAAAATTGATCAAAAAAAACAGTTTAACACAGAATTATAAAAAAAACTTAATTTGGAGGAATGTCGTGAAATAAGCTCAGACTTCAAGGGGACTATGTATCACTAAACAATAATACAAATAGAAAGCACTTAATTCTTTTTTCAAATATTAGCAGAGTTCTACCAAAGTCAATAGCAGCAAATTATACCAGAAGTGACAATTGATATTAAGCAATTGATAGATTTGGTAACAAATTTTTTCTTTTTGAATTGTCATAAATGTTCTTACCGCGGTAAAGATATTTCCAGTAAGTCCACAAAATCTTCCATTTGCTCTGTAACACCAACAAGAAAGTATTCATTGACCAAATTACGTTTAGCTTGGTCAAGTGCCCATGCATTGCCAGGTTCCCTTTAAAAAGTAATAAAAATAATCATAAAAGAAATCTATTTGTTAATTAACTGCTCATAACTGCACATACCAGCACTTGGCGGCGTGACCACAAAAAAACGGTATTTGCAGCCACATATTCTTAGGATCACAGTCCGGTTGCTTAAGTTCAACGCATTCGTCAAACGTCTTAAATAAACATCTCACGTTACAAATAATACAAGTACACTTATTTTTCATTTTTAAAATACTTACAATTTTATTACCCGCTTTTTTGCGTACTAAATTCGGTCGATAATTATCACCAGAACGTAAAAAATAATAATACGAAACTAATCTGTCGAGCGGCTTACGAACTATATTAATATAGATAGGTTTATGCGATATTTGAAACCTAAAATATGAAAACAAAAACATATTAATAAATGAGAATTGCATATGATGAGCATTTTGTATACTTAGAGAAATCTAAAAATGCCATGTGTCCATGATACAAAGCTGGTTTCATTTCATGCCATTTCGTTACATTACGTACGAAGGAAATCTGTGGTAAGACAAAACAAAATTTTTTTGCATATTACTCTAATATTAGGCAGACAAATTTTTACACTGTTTTTACCTGATTAGGCAATGAGAGCACATGCATATTTGCAGTGACATTAATGTGCAGTACATGAAATTTGTTGCGCTTACACAGGTCGTAAGCAATGTTGACAAAACTGGTGGAACCTGTCTTTGGTACCCGATTATACAGCACAACCAATTGGTTTTCGTAATCGAAACCATCACCTCCAAATGAGACCGTGCTCTGTGTGACATATTGAACTGAACCACCACTAGGTACACCAGGTGCGGCTATTTTCGCTAAAGGCTTAATCGCTACAAACAAAATACAAATTAAATTTGCTACAATCACTTGATATTTAAAATTGCGCTACCATTGTGTAATGTCTCCAAATGCTCCTCAGACCACAAAAACCAATATCCTCCACAAGTGAATAAGCACACTGCACCTAGTATTAACCAATGCAATGGTCTTGTGGCTAAAAATATTTTTTTGAATTTTTTGTGCAACAGCAACATCATGCCGAAATCTCTGTGCAAATATCACATTTAGCACAAATTTTCATTGTTTTATTTCGTTAAATGCTTTCTGGTTTTATGTCTGATATTATTATATGGTGCTTAAACTAATTTTGTTTCCTCTTGATTTTTCGTAAGCAACGCAACGACATTAGTATGCAAATACTTTTTCTTCATATGCAATTAATTGTACGTGCGAAGCAAACTATTTTTGTTGTGCTAACTTCTCATTGATTCACAACAAATTTGACATTTGCCCGAAAACATTTGTGTACAGCGGCTATCACGCCTTTTAAATTACAAGAAAACAATTCAGATTTTTTCAAAAACAAATTGTGAAAATGAAAAATACTTTATTTTTGTTTTTTTAATTAAATACTCTTTGTATACTCTTTGCTATTACTTCATTATTCTGTAAATTAAGCATCAGAGATGACAAGTTGATTATAAATATGAAAATCCATTTAGCAAAATAAACAGTAATAACTTTGTATAGAGTGTTGAATGAATGTACATACATATATAAATGCAAATCTTATATGAAAATTTACCAAATCATGTTTGTAGCTTTCTACCAAAATAACCCTTTTTCGGTTATTTATAAAACAAATATTATATGTAAATTACTATTTTGACTGTGTTACGTTTACATAGTCACTGCATCCAGGCAAATTTCTTGCACTGCACTTATGTAAATATTTATTTATTTATATTTTGCACCTTTTTATTGGTTTTGGTTAAAAGTTTTCAAATTTATTAATTTATTTATTAAATGTCTTATAAATTTCCAAAATTTTTACTCGAAATTCTGGTAAATACCAACATTGTTGTCATACCGACATAATTTACTATTTCTCTTAATTTACCATCAATTTACTCGAACTCGCACACGGCCTATGTAATGTAACAATTTTTTTTACGAACCTAATTTTAAGTTTTTTAAATTTTTTTATGGCAACACCAAACTTTATTTTCATCGCGCGAAACACAAATATGTGACAGCATTAATGTGGTGAGGGCTGTTGTCTTGATGGAGTTTTGAAATAGTTTTTGTTTTTATAAGTAACCGTAATTATTAGTGCCAAATTTTTAATTAAATATGTCACAATTTAATCTTGGTAACTTGGCGAAAGAATTGCCCACAATTCAATATGAAACTGGACTGTCGTTTGAAGATCGTCAAGAGACATGGGACAAGGCCAGCGATGGTAATTTAAAGATGTGTATCTTTTGAATGCAGTATTTAGTATAACTGATGAAATTTTTAGTTCAGTATGTAGTTGATGATTTGACTAATAGTAAGGTAGTGCATTATCTGAAGTTAGGAGGCAACACTATGGGGGTTCCTGCAGCCGAAGCTATTGGCAATGCTCTAAGATGTCATCCTGAATTTAAAAAGGCCATGTGGCCTAATATGTTTACTAGAAGACTAATAGATGAAATACCAGCGGCTTTAAAACATCTTAGCAATGGTTTGATGTTCGCAAAAGCACAGATTACTGTTTTAGATTTGAGCGACAACGCTTTAGGTCCAAATGGTATGGTCGGATTAGAAGATCTTTTGAAATCACCAGTCTGTTACAGTCTGCAAGAATTGCACTTGAACAATTGTGGTCTTGGCGCTGGTGGTGGTAAAATGCTTTCAAAGGCTATAATCGAAGGTCACGAGAACAGTTTACGCGCCGGCACTCCAATGCAAATGAAAGTTTTTGTTGCCGGACGCAATCGTTTAGAGAACGAGGGTGCTGCAGCACTTGCACAAATGTTTGGTACACTCAAGACATTAGAACAAATTAGTTTGCCGCAAAATTCTATCTATTATGTTGGATTTGATGCACTAGCCAAAGGCTTCAGAGAAAATACGAACTTACATGTACTAAATGTAAATGATAATAACATTGGCCGCAAGGGCGCTGGATATTTGGCTGAACTTTTCGCTTTCATACCAAAGTAATTTTGTTTTCAATCCTTAGCTGTAAACATATTTAATAAGATAATTTTTTTTTTTTTTTTAGAATACGTGAAATTAACTTTGGCGATTGTTTAGTTAAAACGGATGGCGCCTACTTATTTGCCGATGCATTAGCAGATGACCACAAAAATCTAGAAGTTCTTGATTTAAGCTTTAATGAAATTAATGGTGAAGGTGGCATATGTTTGGCAAACGCTATGCTCAATAAACCAAACTTAAAAACTTTTAATCTTGATGGCAACGTTGTGAGTTATAAAAAAAATGAACTTTAATTATTTGAGTCTTGAAAATATTTATGTTGTATTTTATTTAGCTCGGGTCTGATGGTTTAAAAACCATTATTGAGTGTATGAAGGCTGCCATTAATCCTAACGCATTCGTTGAGGTTGAAGAAAATGAGTCTGAAAATGAAAATGATTCACAAAACAATGATGGAGAGGAAGGATCAGATGACATTTACGATAGCAATGAGGAGGAAGAGGAGGAGGAGGAGGAAGACGACGACGACGACGATGAGGATAATACTGACGAAAGTAGCAATGCTAGTGCATACGTAACCTCAGTCAGCGCCTTTCAAACACCAGTATATAATTTCTACAATTTATTTAAATTCTTTTAAAAGAGTAATTTTTTTTTCAACTAATTTTAGCTAAGTGGCGAAGAGAATGTATTTTTTCAAACTCCAGCTAGTTTAAATACGCCAACTAAACCGAAACCAATAAATCAAAATCAGCTGAGTGCAACTGCTTCTATATCGGCAGATAATGATAAATCACCAGACATACAATTGAATGCTGTAGAGGAGTTCTGCTTTGAATTAAAACCACCTTCTCTTGAAATGTTTTTGAAAGCAATAGCAACCCCTGACATGAACTTTTTCAACTTTTGTGAGGTATTTTCTACTTATTTTATACATTTTTTCACTTTCAATAAAACTCTAATTTTTGGCACAAAAGAGCTTCAAGGAATTAAGCGAGAAAGATTACGTTGATATCTTGTACTACACTACACTGAAAGTTGCTAATCTATCCCGTCAGTCTGTAGAAGCTTTAAAATGGGCCGTGCGGCTATTTAAGATTTGCTTCAAACATGCAACTGAAACTGGAAAGGAGAACATTCTCGTCGTTTTCTTTGCCAATAAAATTGGTTTGATCGAACATGACTGCGGAATTAAGACAGAATATAAAAACGATGCTTGCCGTCATGCTCTCAAAGAAGCTGTTAAAGAAACTAACAATGAGAAAATCATCATGCATTTCAGCAGCCTCTCGTTGTAGCTTTATCTAAATTGTTTGTTTTAAAACAAAATAAATTTATATTAATAAATGAAGTGCTTAACTTATAATTTATTTTTAATTTCTTGATTTTATGAATAAATAATTATATTGTCAATTGGGATTTAATGTGAAAGAAGGGTGGGATTTATAAGTTTAACCTTAAGGAACCGTAATTTTAACTAAAGAAAACGCCAAAATAGTGAATTGATTTATTTATATTGATTTAGTTTAGATTTATTGATTGATTTAGATTTATATTTCTTAAATAGACTGAAAGTTAGATGCATACATCAACTGCAAACCAGCCTAGTGACGGACAATACGTTTTAATATTGAGTTGAACTACATAAAATATCATACGTTTTAAATTCATTTCTCCAGCTTATTTATTAATTGAAATAATGCATTATTTCCAGTAACCATAAATCTTCATTTATGTTACATTTCAAATAACGATCGATTTAGACCAAAACATTTAACCAAAAACACGGTCCAAACTCTATTCCCAGTTATATTTCTGTCAGTTTTAAAAGACTACATATTTATAGGGCAATTTCTCTTCTATTTTTAAAAATTTCATTTTTAAACATACAAAACAGGAAGTAGTAACCAACGCAATACAAGTCCGACTACCCAAGCTGAAACAAAAACTTAACGAAAATTTAAAAAATAAAAGAAAAATTGCTTAAGAATTATGACATAGAACGCGAATGGTCTGCTAAAGCACCAATGAGATCTAGAAATATTACTGACCATGGAACAAATCGATATTTGCCTTGTGAACGAAACACATTTTACTGCACAGTCTTTTATAGCATTCAAGAATTATTTCATATATCATACTATACATCCAGATAACTGTGCGAGAGAAGGAAGTACTGAAATTATTCGGAAAAGCATGGATCATTATGAAGAAAACAAATGTAGTACACAAATGTTTTAAACAACAACTGTCACTGTCAACCATTGTCAATAACTGCTTCTTACAGCCCCTCAAATAATCAACCATTGTCAATAACTGCTACTTACAGCCCCCATAACATCACAGATTAGGAATATAAACAGCTAATAAGAAGACACAAATTTAAGTTTATTGTAGGTGGAGATTTTAATGCGAAACACACTTATTGGGGTTCACGCATCACAACAACAAGGGGAAGAGAACTGTATAAGGCTGAAATAGAAACGGGATGCGAATTCATTTCAGCAGGAAAACTAAATTACTGGCCGACCGATCCAAATAAATTGCCTGACATTATAGATTTCTTTCTCATTAAAAAATATCATCAAACTACATGCAAATCAAACAAGGTTTAGATCTGCACACCGACCATTCGCCCATATAATTAAATTTAAGTGACACAATCATAAAGAAAGGTCCCGCTCCATACCTGACTAATAAATCTACAGATTGGAGTTTTTTTGAAGCATTGCTTGAAGACAGTGTAAACCTCTCAACTTCACTGAGCACTTGTGATGAACTTGAAAGAGACTTCAAAGAGCAGCTTGGATCAGTACCCCTGAATATAGAAGAAAAACTGTAGGGGAGAACTATCCAAGAGAAATTCTGAGTCTATTAAAAGAGAAGAAGAAACTAAGAAAAAGAAGGCAACAAACTCGATATTCTCTAGATAAAAGCAGGCCTAATGAAGCTACTAAACGTTTAAAAACTGAGATTCGTCTATCAAAAATGAGTAAATGACTAAAAAAAACAGAATACTCATTGTGGAAATCGACAATCCTTTACATGCACACCAACGATCAAAGACAGCAATGGAAAATGGACTAGAAGCAATGAGGAGAAAACCAGATCTTTCGCAAATAACCTGACAAAAATATTTCAGTCTAATGATGTATAGTGTGATGAATTACTGATTGTCACAGAGAGAAGAAACCAGCAAATCGATCGAATAACAAAACGCGAACTAAAATGAGCAATGAAAGACCTGAAAAATAAAAAGGCGCCTGGCTTTGACCTTATAACATCCGAAGTTTTAAAGCAGTTACCAGATAAATCTGTTCGCAAATTGCTAATGCAATTCAATGCAATAATAAATCTAAAATGTATTCCTAGACTATGGAAGATCGCAGAGGTAAAAATGATTCCAAAAGTAGGCAAACCGCTAGAATGCATATCGTCATATAGACCAATTTCAATTTTACCAATCATTTCGAAGTTCTTTGAAAAGCTATTCTACAAGTGACTAATGTCTATAATAGGCTCCGAAAAGCTAATACCAATCCATCAATTTGGATTTTGTGGCAAGCATTCGACTATAGATCAAGTACACCACATTGTCGATGAAATTGAAAGGGCTATTGAAGGTAAAGTGCGTTCTGTTGTATTCTTTGGTGTCACACAGGCTGTCGACAAAATCTGGCACTTCTGGTCTGGTCTTCTGAATAAACTAGAAACATGTTTGCCGTCGTCATATTCTGCGATTTTTAAGTCTTGCATTATCACTATGTTTTTTTATGTAAAACACGAAAACTGTTACTCAAATCTATCTGAGATAAAAGCTGGTGTACCTCAGGGGAGTGTACTCGGTCCACTACTATACCTGCTTTACACTATGGACTTGCGAATAACATCTAAAAGTAAAATTGCTGACTCCGTTGAAGAATCAATACAAATCACAAATAGCTACAGATTCGTTAGAAAATTGGACAAAGAGTTGGCGTATCAAACTGAATTCTGATAAATCTGTTCATGTGGATTTTACAAATAAAAAATACAGTACTTTCCTATTTCGATTTAAGGTACTCAGATATCATATGCAAACACTCCAAAATATCTTGGCATAACCTTGGACGCAAAACTTCGAATGAAGGAACACATAAAACAGAAACGGGACGAGCTTGATATGAAGTTGTGAAAAATGGAATGGCTGATTGGCCGCAAATTCACACTATCTATGGTTTTATTCACACTATCAAATCTTAAAACCTATTAGCAACCTGCCTGCAGATGTGTGCTTACTACCGCATAAGCTAAAACCAACTGTTGAGAGATTGGTTTGATAATGTTTGACATTGCGTAGGCTTTCGATAAAGTACAACACACGGATTTGGTTGCCAAATAAGAGGAATAGCGAATTTTACAAGGAATACTAATTAAGAACCTAGAAGCACCATATCATTATGTGCAGACGATACCTGCACTCTGAATGCACTCTGAAGTACTCTGAAAAGAGTCTGAAAAGAGTCTGAAAAGAGTACTTCATTCATGTGAGACTATAGAAACATGTTAATGAAATAACAAATCTTTCAGAAAGTGGAAAATTAAGCTAAACGCTATGAACCGAAGGCAATGTTTATCACTAGGAAAAGGAACGAAAATGGCAAAAGACTAATTGTCATGGACAAGCTCAAAGAACGAGAGGACTAAGTTAAATATCTAGGCTAAACTTTAGAAAAATATTGAAAAAGAAAGAGCACATAAGAGTAAAAAAGCTCTCATGAAACGCAACTCTCGCGTTATCTTGGCTACTATCTTACAGGAAGCTTAGCATTATTCAACCAATAAATGAACAAACTAAACCGGTCCTCTGTCGACAATATAAATAGTATGCGTGTCATAATTGAGCAGTGCATCGAGTTCAACACAGTCCTGTATACAGTCTTTGTCGATCATGAAAAGGCGTTTGATTCAATCAAGAGAGAGGCCATCTGACCAGCACTACAGAGACTCCGCAAAAAATAATTAATACAATAAAGAAAAGCTATGAAAACACGAAGTTCTGTATATTGGTGAAACAAGTGAACCGTTCATTTCAACAACCGAAGCAAGGCTGCATTTTCTGACCACTACTATTTATTGTTGTGCATGATTGTGTGTTAGAAATGTTCGATTCGCAAAACCACGGCATCAATTGGAGGCTAAATACCAGAAATAGATTTCTTTTTACAGAACATAACAATTTTAATCACATGTACATAGAATATAGTGAATACATATATATATTTATTATAATAATGCAAATATTAGTTTTCAGATTGATTTATTACATAATTATAAATTTATACTCGCTAAGCTTATTGAAAGCTCTTGGGACCACTTTTTAGATAATAATAATGGTAACTACATTGCCAACAGAGCAGTAAACTGCGACAGAAGTGAGACCTTGTCTTATATCTTCATAGGCGCTATCTGAGGACAAGATAAAAAGTAACAACTGTAGCCGTAGTGGTATATCTTATATATTTAATGAATGACAGTTAATGAATATGTTTTGGAGTTGCAGAATTTGGAGTGCAACTATCCTAGAAGCGTTAAACTTTGCAGGCATATAAAATTTATGACGAGCTTAAAGCAAATAACGATTATCCATTTTGGAAATAATTGAGTAACTAATAAAGATGAAAAACATAACGAATTTTCTTCCTTCATATCTCATATCTCATATAAACAAAAACAGAACACATAATATTTTCATTAAAATCATTTATTTAGATTTTACGGATGTACGTACTCTAACTTATTTGATATTAACATTACTATATATACTAATGTTGATGTATTTGAATGTTTGGGTGGTGTGTATGGTTAATATTGTAACAATGTTTAAATAAAATAAACACACCGTTCATATTCTTAAAACAATTAAATACAATAATTAATTATTAATTTATTTCTACATGCAATAATTGAAAGGATCATATAAAAATTGTTAAAAATATTTTGAGAAACTTGTTGTTTGTTATTGGCTCTCTTAAATGTATGTTAAATGTAAATTTAATTTTTTCTACATATGCTTTAAGGTAAAAAGAAGTTTGACTAAACATGTTAACAATTTTACATACAATGAAATGACAAGTACATTTAAAGGTACTGTTTTCTAGCCAACTTTCAAACTAAAAAACTCAATACTAACTAATAGTCACATTTAAAAACAGCTAACATTTAAAATTATTATAAATGTCCAAGGTTAAGTGAGTTAAATTATTTAAAAAATTAAAAAATTTGTCGTTGCGTATGTATGCGTTGAGAAGAATGTGTTTTGTTACAGTAATGATTGATTATAATTGATTGAGGTTTAAAATATTTTATACTCTTAATTGTAAATTTAATTTTTTTTAAATAATTTTCATATTTAGAAGTCGAAGTCATCGGAGTCACTGCTGACTTTCTTCTTCCTCTTACCCTAAAATGCATTTATTATAGTTTATTTTTCCAATTTCAAGTGCAGAACGTATTTACCTTCTTATTATTATCACTATCACTGTCGCTTATATTTTTTTTACGTGGGCGCTTACCAGGAGCCTTTTTGATAGGAGTGTCTTCCTCGCTGTCTCCATTGCCATTGACATCGTTTTCGCTATCGCTAATTTTGGCCATTACTGTGGACTCTTCGAGAACTGCTTTATTATCCTTAAAAACCATTTCACCTTCACTACTTTGTACATCTTCATCCGAATCAAGTAAACCTGAATAGTTTATTTTTTTAGCAGTTGCACGACGTCCTGGTCGATCCGCACGTGGAGCAACACTAACTTGCATTTCAATATCGCTACCGGATAGTTCATCTTCATCGGAGCTTGTACTTTTCTTCTTGCACTAAAACAAGTTTTTTAATATATTCATTTTCCAATTCTTTATTATATTTAAAAACAAAAATTTCTTACCCCTTTAGATTTGAAGTTTAATTTAGTTTGTTTAAGACCATCGCTAGAAGTATCAGCGTTTTTCTTCTTTGGAATAGCCCTTTTCTTCGGTTCAGCCCCAGGTTTCTTTCCCTTTTTCGGCACATCTGGCGAACCTTTGGGTCCTTTATCTCCTTCCGCAAGTCTAACTTTTTTTTGCGCATCAGTAAGATCTTGCACTTTTTGGAACTTCAATGCCTTTAGTCCAAGCTCATTTTTCAATATTTGCCGAATGGCATATTGCGATATGTTCAGCTCACGAGCCATTTTTCGTCCACTGCGACGCGGATTTCCTTCAATTCGCTTCTTCACTTTTCGAACCATTTCTGCCGATGTTGCTGTTTTTTTTCGTCCACTTCCTTGACGTCGGGCTACGCTACCAGTATCATGGTAACGAGCGATGGTACGAGACACAAAAGATTTATTAACTTTTAAATGCTGGAGGGCTCTAACGATAGCCACTTGTGGTTTTCCAGCCAAATGCAAAGCAATCACACTATCACGCTTGAATTCCATCACAAATAACAAATAACTGAAAAATTCCCACCAAAATGCTTTTGTGCGCTTGTAAACAATATAATGAGCTGTCACTAGAATAAATCTGACAGCTGTGGGACGAGCGGTTTAGAAATGACAGCAGTCTGAAGTTGGTTGCAGTTTTTTCATCTCACCTTGTATTTTTAAAAACAAAAATTTCTTACCCCTTTAGATTTTTTTTTGTTTTATATTTATTCCATTGATATTGGAACTATCTTAGATATCTAGTAATACTTTTAACAAATGAAAATTTGAAACTTTGAGTTATCTTAAATTATCATTTAAGATAACCTATTAATGATAATAATGCATGTCATATAAATTTCAATACATTTTATAAATAAATAAATAAAATAAATAAATAAAAAGATAGATAGATATATAAATAAATAAATAATAATAATAAATTAATAAACATTACTAATTTTTTTTTTTTTTTTTTGAAAAAAAGAATTCAACTTAATTTAATACTTAAGTAGGTTGGAAGTGTACGTTTAAGACGTTTTTTGTGCCCTAGTTCCAAGGCTGAAAGTCTTCTCATTTCTAAGTTTGTGTGCTGAAGCAATTTAGATGAGTGGTTAGCACTGCTTTTTTGAAGCGTTTCATGTATAGTTGGGATATTCAGGTCTTTGTGAATATCGTCGTTTCTAATGTAGTATCGTCAGCAAACGTTACAGTTAGTATTTCTACACTTTTTGCCTAGGAATGTCTGTAGTGTATAACAGATACAGGATCGGGCCTAAAACACTCCCTTGAGGGACACCGGCTTCTATTTTTATCATGTGGGATGTGTCGTTTTGATATTGCACAAAGAAGTATCTATCTTTAAGGTAGCTCTTCAGTAGTAAATAAAAATCGGCCGGCAATATTCTTGATAGTTTGTAAAGCAATCCTTCGTGCCAGACGCTGTTGAATCTTTTGGCTACATCTAAAAACACAGCCACAGTGATCTTCTTAGAGTCTATATTCATTGAAATTTTCCTAGCCACCCGATGAATTTGCTGAATTGTAGAATGCTTTTTACGAAATCCAAATTGCTGATTTGGCAATAGGTTGTTTTCTTGTATTATTGGTTCCAGTCGGGAGAAAAGAAGATTTTCGAATAGTTTATATCAGATGGATAATAAGCTGATCGATCTGTAAGAGTTGACAATTGAAGCATTTTTGTTTGGTTTAGATATTGCTACAACCTTCGTTACTTTCCAAACAGAAGGGCAAATCTTATTGCTAATCATGCAGTTAAAGATGTTTCTCATGTCTTTCAGCCTCTGATAATTCTTTCAGCTCTTTTGTTAATTTGTTTAACTTTGTTTTTATTTATGGAGCTCTAGATTATTTTTTTTTTTTCTTCCCTTTATTATACAAGTGCCAAGATTTGAGCATGAAGTATACATTTTTACATAATGGAACTTCAAGTAAAAATTCAAAAACAAGATTAAGAATTACATGAGTGAACTATTAATAGTGGATAAAATGAAAAAGAAAACTTTTCTTTAAATTATATAAATTAAATATTATAAAATAATTAAAATTAATGGATGGATGATAAAATAAGTGAGTCAATTAAATAGACTGCTATGAATTTACTATGAATATATTAGTTAGATTATTATAGTATTGCTAGTTCTGATGGAAATAAGCGTTTCAATCTTCTGTTGTGTGTGGCTTCGTCATTAGGTAGCTGCCTCATTGTTGGGTTAGGATGGAAAAGTAATCCGTCTGTGTGCTTTTTACTATTTTTTCGGATAACGTCTGCAACAAAGGGTATCTTTAAATCGCGATGAATGTCATAGTTTGAGATGTACCATTCAGCGTTGATGATAGTCCTAAGTATTTTTGATTGTTGTCTTTGCAGTATTTGGATGTTGGATTTACATGCTGTGCCCCAAATTTCGGCTCCATATTTCCATATTGGAGCGATTACTGTTTTAATCAAAACTAACAGTGGAAAATGGAGCTCTAGATATTTGCCAGATTTTTCTCAGGTATTACATTTTTGGTTTTAGTTATTGGTGTAGATGCAGATGCTGCAGATAATAGTAGAATATAGCTCTTAGAGCTATATTTATAACTAACTGTTCTTCTATTAGCTCACGATATGTATCCCAACATGTTTGATAATTGTATGTATAATTGTTCGTATTGTTCATATAAAGAGTTGTGCTGCAAACTAGTACTATCGGTGGGGGGTCAGAGGACAACTCAAGGCTGTAATGAATGGAAAGGTTATTTACATTTATGTTTTTTGTTATAAAGAAGTCAATCAAATTAGGTTGCTTTCTTAGGTCACTAGACCAGTAGGTTGGTTCACCAATACTTATAAATTTTGCTTTATATTCACTCAGTTGAGTGTAAAGATTTTTACCTTTTGCGTTTGTTAAACGTGATCCCCATAGCGAATTTTTTGCGTTGAAATCTCCACCGACTATAAATCGTTGAAAAAGAGATTTGAGGAAATTTAAATACGTGGCTTTGGTATTTGAGGACTTAGGAGGACAATAAACAGCAGCCAATTTTAATAGACCATGAGAATCTTCAATCATTATTGTGGTCGCTTGTATTTGTTTTGTACTATGATTTTCTGATTCAGAGCTAACTATACAGTTTTTTATGAAGATGGCAGTTCCACCGTGTCCTTTTCCGTCGGGATGGTTGGTTTGAAATATTGTGTAATTATCTATTTTAACATAGCTTTATTCAGTGAAATGCGTTTCTGAAGGTAATAGTATGTCGATCGAATTTGAGTACAGAAAAGTTTTCAATTCGTTGACATGTCTACTTATACCGTTTGTATTCCATGCTACTATTTTCAAGTCATTCACTACGTTTACGCGAGCCTTAAAAGTTGTTTTAAGGCTCCTAAAATCGATTTTAAGATCGCGTAAACACCCTAAATTGAATTTTGCTTAAAAGCACTTTTAGCTTACTAAAAGTAGTTTAACATCACTTTTAGTAAGAAATGTCACTTTTACCCTTTGCGTAAATACCTTAAAAGCAGTTTAAGGTTTGAATTGTCAGCTGTTAACAGTGAATAGGTGCAAATAATTTGAATTTTATTACAAATAACACTAACTAAAAATATGGAGAAAAGGGAAATAAAAAGAAAAAATTGGATGAAAGAGGAGGAAGAATGCTTAATTAAAATATTTGCAGAAAAACAAATAATTAAATTGTAAGACGGCAAAAAATATAGAAAGGACACAATTTATGAAATTGTTCGCCAAGAAATGGAAATCAGTGGCTGGTACAGAAGTGTACAGCAAATAAAACAAAAGTGGCAGGTATTAAAGAGACAATACTCTGAAATAAAAAAACATAACAATTGTAGTGGTAACAGTTGCATGGAATACCATCCATTGATGTGCGAAATCCTTGACTCAAGACCATCATCAATTCTTGAAAATAACGGGTGCGATACTCTTGATATTGAACACCTAAATGGTAATTTATCATAGAAGTAAATATATTGTTACCGAACTTTAATTTTTTTAATTGCAGGCGAATGGAATGAAGAATATTTAAATGACAACGCAGAGGAGCACAATTCAGACTTTGAATTGCCTTCAACATCCGCATTTTTGAACCCGCAGAATAACGCAGATGAAACGAATTGGGAGTTAGGAATAGATGACTTGCCTTCGACGTCAACTTCATCGAATACCACCACAACTCAAATTCGACTAGATCGATCGAAGGGCAGAGGAAGTTACCCAAAGGCATTGTCCAGCTTTCATGAAAGTTGGTCTCGCGAATGCAAAATTATGATTAGCCGCCAAGAAAAATTCTTTAGCGAGGAAGCGGAAAAACAGCGTGAATGGGAAACGAAAATGCTGGAAGAGCAGCGTAAGCACAATGAAAATTTGCTGCGTAGTAGCAATGAGACAATTGAAAGTGCTAACAGAGGTCTAATTGCATCGCAGAATTTAAATTAATTAAAATTATTTATTTTTTATTCTCTATTTGAAAATCTTTTTATTTTTTATTCTCTATTTGAAAAAATATTTCAATTTAATATTAAATTTATTATTTTCAATTATTTAAATTTATTATTAAGCTTAAATTGTTATAAATATTTTATCTTATATATATATTTCTTCTGTACGTGTGTTGACAGTGAACTCCTCCTAAACGGCTGAACCGATTTTGATGAAATTTTTTGTGTGTGTTCAAGTGGATTCAAGGTTTAGATTCACAATTTTGCCCACTGGATAATGTCTTTTTAATTAATTTTTTATTTTTTGGTATCCATATACATTTATATTAGAAATTTAAAATTTATCCATGCTTACTTTGATTTGTTTAAAAAGTTTAAAATCTCTAAAATGAATCGTAAAATTGCATAGCTTAAATGCATTTAAATTCCGCAGTATAATTATAGGGGAGCCAATTTTTAATCTTAAGTTATGTGGTGGTATTCCTGGTAAATCCAGCGAATTCAAAAATTCCACAGGATAGTTGAACGATTCATTTTAGAGTTTAAACTTTTTAAACAAATCAAAGTAAGAATGAATAACTTTTAAATGTCTAATATAAATGGACCAAATTGTGAATCTAAACCATCCTTGAATTCACTTGAACACACACAAAAAAGAAAAATTATATATAT